AATTAAAGTGGCTTTGAGAGCCTCCCTCGAAAAAGAAGCAATTGTGATAATTTTATTCTCACATTTATATTTTTCTTCATGTTGAGCAAGCATTGCCTTTAAAAGCTACTGTACTAGAATGTAGTCCTTTACCATATTTTTTTTTAAATAATTTTATTTATTTATTTATTTCCCCCCCGCAAAGCCCCAGTAGAAAGTTGTCTGTCATAGTTGCACATCCTTCTAGTTGCTGTATGTGGGACGTGGCCTCAGCATGGCCGGAGAAGCGGTGTGTTGGTGTGTGCCTGGGATCCGAACCCGGGCCGCCAGCAGCGGAGCGCGCACACTTAACCGCTAAGCCACAGGGCCGGCCCCATCCTTTACCATATTTAAATATTCAAAATTCATTCATATAATATTGTAGCACAGTATTCATTTAACAGAACAGAAAAATATATAAATGAAAACCTTTAAATACCCATTGAACGGACTTTACATGCCTACGTACATGTGTATGATAAGTGCTCCTCGCAATCTTCATAAATTTTCCGTTCTTTACCTCCATGATCAGGCCTCAGAACAACCTCAGGTGGGGCACACAGAGGCAGCCTTTCCACACCTTTCAGCTGACCAGTCACACAGGTGAGGCCAATTCACAGGCTTATCAGAACACCGAAGGGAACCCGGGCTAGGAAAATAACGTCTAGACAGCGTATGCAAAAGTGATGACAGCTTATCTCGGTTTCCAGTTGAGGGCCCTTACAAACCCAGTATCATGCACTGTTTTCAAAACTGGGAGTCTTGGGATATATGTCACTGGGTGAGGAGTTCAGAATCTCATCCAAGGAGGGGCCTTCATCCTCAGGAGCAATTTCAGACTCAAACATCTGCTGCAGCAAGGCATCCACGGTCCTGTATTCTAGGAGGAAGGAGAAAGAGCGGGTGGAACGGCATATGTTGGGGTTGGAGGGGAGCATCCAGCCCGGGCAGAGCTGGGCTTTCCCCAAGGATGGCCTCCAAGTCAAAGATAACGCTCTGAGCACGGTAGCCAAACACGTTTTGGAAGGAAGGATGAAAAAGTCAGGAAAGAATCATTCATTCTCCCGGTGCTGGTCCCAATGAGCTCCTCAGCCACTGAAGGCTCTGGAGACCAAGGAGAAGGTCCTCCTTGAAGGACGGAGGAGGGCCACCTTGCAGAGGCTGCATGTTCATACCACTCCTGCAATCCATGTCGTAGGCCTCAGTCTAAGTTGACTGTGGGGCGCCTCACCCAAAGCCCAAACTGACATTCAGGTTGGTTTAGGTTTACTCAGCCAATCGCTAATTCATCGAGATTTAATAAAGTAATTAAACAAATAGTTATTGAGGGCCCCCATGTCCTAGGCACATTGTGAGGCCCTGGGGAAACAATGGGGAACAAAAAAGACACGGCCCTGCACATGTGGAACTTCGAGTCTGCAAGTAAGACAGATGGTGATCGAATAGGCACTCAACAATAAATGTGCAACAGGCACGGTGGGTCATGGTGGGAAGGAAGGGAGGCTGAGATGTTGAGAGAAACCAGGCATGCAGACCACGGAGGCCATGGCTGGGGCCTTGCCTTTATCCTTAAGCAATGGGAAGCCACTGAAGGTCAGTTTGCATTCTGGAAACATCTCACTGGAGAATGGGGCCAATGAGGAGTATAGATTGCAGGAAGTTTTTGCACTGGGTTAAAACTTACTTTTTGAGGCAATTCTGAAGTACAATCCTTTCAAGGCCTTCCTTTTGTTGTCTCCATCATCCCCACTAAAGCCACCGTCCTTGGCGTCCACGTTATCAATGAGCTTCCCGTCCTGCACATCTTCCCTTCAAGGAGAAAGAGACAACACGAACAGGGTCAGGTCCCCCAGCCAAGTCCCTCACACATCCTTCCCGCCGTGGCCCCCTGTCACTGTCCAGCCACATCCAGGGCTCTCATCCAGTCAGCGAGGGTCCCCAGGACTGGCACACAGGACCAGGCCGGTGCCATGGGGTGCTCAGAGACTCAACACGATCAGGCCCCTCCCACATTCCACTTCCAAAAGCCTGTGGGTGACGTCAGGGGAAACGCACTACTCACTCTTGGATTCCCACTCCAAGCTCTTGAATCTTCTTCTCAATAGCGGTTTCTACTTCGCTCTTTTCCAACGAGTATGCCACAAAAAACGCCTCCAAGATGAACGCTATGAAAATACTGAGAGAGGACGAGGTGGAGGGTGTTAGGTTGAGTCAGGCGCGGTCTCGGTGACCGGGAATCCCGGCTCCAAGAGCATCCCAGCCAAGCAAAAAGGCAGCAAAGAAAATGCAACACAGAGAGGAGAAAGGACAGACAAACGTCTCTCAGGGGTTGGACACAACTTCCATCCATGTGGAAAATCATTCTTCCTCGACATCCTGTTTAGACAGTGGATATTAAGAAGAAAATACGGTTGAAGGGGAAGCTTAGGGCAAACAACTGTTGGTAGACAATTCTCCATGAATGTCTCAGGTTTCCGCACAGTCTGGGTCCTCTGAGCAAAAGCAAGGAGAACAAACTGAGGAAGGTTTGTTTCTCTACGGAGACAGTGCAGGACAGTGAAGCCTAGCGATGCCTCCCTCCCCGGAGACGGTCAGGGCAGCACAGATAAAGAGTGCACCTTGCCCTCTCTGAGATCTGCTTACACTCAAGAGTGAAAATACAAGCTCTCTTTCTCTCTCCAGAGGGGAGGATGGGCAGGTCCCAGCAGCCCTATATAAGGTCAGAGTTTGCTCATGTTGGAGTCCCCTCCTGCAGAGCAGCCCCCTCCAGCTGGCCCTCCCCACGCCGCTCGGGTGGGGATCTGGGTTCAGGGAACTGACACGGAGTACTGCTCCAGCCGGAGCCTTTGCCGTGAGTAATAAACTGTCTTTGTCTCTGACCCAAGGTGTCATGCTTCTGTCAGTGTATGTACGTGACATACGCACGCAGACTAGCCTGTGAGCTTGCAAGTAGGAATCTCAGACCCTTCACCATTTCTGACTGAACACTGATGATGCTGTAGCCGAGGTGGTCAGAGCCCCCCACATGCCTCCGAGGGGAGAGGAGCAGAGAAACCCCTATAGCCTTTGCACGTTGTGGCCTCGGCCTGTCCCAGCCCTCCGGCAACCTCCGTCAGAGCCTCTCAGGGAAGCATTTCTCTCTTTTCCCACTACGTACTCCATTCGGGCTGTGGGGGACAAGCAGGTCTGATCAGAGCCACCTGCAGGGTTTCCTCTCCCTCACTCCCTCTCCCGGGACATTCGTGGGACATTCTTCATACAAAGTCAGCAGCGTGGTGGGGGACCAAAGCAGCTCGGATGTGACAAGGAAGGCACTGGTGCAGGGGGTCACCCCAAGAACTGTGGGCCCAGGCTCCGAGAGGAGTATGGCCACCAGAAAACATCTCAGGCAGAGAACCCCACAGGTCAAGGGACTCCAATTCAGGTCCCATGTGGACGCCGGGAGCTAGAATCAGAGATTCGTAAGCTGGAAGGAGAGCCCCTTTGAGTGATGAGACGTCACAGCAGCTTTCAAAGAGTGACTGAGTGCTCCCCGGGAAGAAGGTCAAGCCAGACTGGAACCAATGAAGGGAATTTACCAGGGGGCGCATTTCCCTTCTACCTGTGTAAGGACTGGTATGCAGCAGAGCTGGACAACAAGGGGACTGACTCATGGGTTCTAATGAGTCCCAGCTGTCGGACAGATTTATAAGCAGAGGGTGGACAGCAATTCACAGGGATGTTCTAAAGGTGACTCATCCCAGAGGCGAAGGGAAGGGAGACTGGCCAGGACCCCAGAGGCCTTCTGACCCAAACGACGTATGAGGCTATGAGATGTGTATTATACTGATGTGCACGGCGCTGGCAGACACTGTGACGAACACAAAGGTGAACAACAGTAAGACCCCTCCCTTCCAGGGCCTTAGCATCCCCCAGGGGAGATGCGACCCACCCACCACGCACACAGGGCAGAGCAAAGGGGCAGGAAGGTGCAAGTGGTTGTACGTCTGAGAGGGGAGAGCTGGACTTGCCGATGCGGCAGGAGCAAACTCACTTTACAATGAGGATGACGACCACGATGTGGAACCCGATGAAGTACAACTTTGCCGCCTGGTGAGTCACGAGGGCAAAGCCGCCTGCAACGAGTAGGAAGCTAAGGAGCCAAACTTTCGAGAAACTTGGCGGGCGCCCTGAGCTCAGGGACGCCAAGACGTAATCCTCCTCCCAGAAGTTACTCTCAGCGTCCCCCTGCCCGCCCCAGGGAGCAGGAGCCCCTCTGGGAGCCACACGCCTCCCGAGAAAGGATATCGTGCCACTGGTTCACCACCGTGAGCTCCATCAGCACGACGAACGCTGAGGCGAGGTCGTTGAAGTTGTTCTTACAGTACCTGCTCCGGGCAAAGGCCGAGTCCTTCAGGGCTGGGTTCCCACACACCGGGGCATCAGGGGTGGTGAAATTCGGGTCGAAGAACCGGACTTTGCCATGGAACACTTCCATCCCAATGATAGCAAACACGTAGTAGACCACCTAGGATGGCGGCACAGGTCACCAGTGGGCACTTGGAGCTGCAGAGTCATGGGGCAAGGAGTGCGCAAGAGACACGGGCACTGCGCACACTGGTCAGCCCTGTGCCAAGGGCCCAGCAGAAAGGGTGGCTACTCTTACTCCGGGGATGGCTGCCCTCCCAACCAAGAGTGCCACAGCGTCAGGAAGAGAGTGGGGAGGGGTCGGCCAATCGGCCATTCTGCTGGAGAAGCCTGAGCTGTCCATGGAGGGACCGAGGACATGGCCAGCTGGGCCACACCTTGACCTCTCCCGGGCTCCATTTACAACACCAAAAATGAAGCCGCTAGCAAGTTAGTGGGTTAAATACTCAATAAATAATAGTTAGTCCTCTAGGGAAAAAAACAATAAAATTGGATATTTACTTTTTTTTTAATATCAAAATAAATTCCAAAGGTACCAAAGGGTTAAATGTAAAAAACAAACCATGAAAGAACCACAAAAAGTAATTGAGTAGAAAAAGGCCTTACTAAGCATGAAATAAAACCCAGACACTATAACACAAGATTGACAAATATGACTATATAATTAATTTAAACTTTTATACAGCTCAAAAAAGACAACAAAAAGCATTTATGTAGGGAAAAAAAAAAACAAGTGACAGATAAGGAAAAATAATTACTCTGTAAACAACTTACCAAGGGCCTATTTCCTTAACAGGCAAAACACTTCTACAAATAATATAAAAAATAAAACTAACAGAAGAATGAACCACAAACATGAGTGGGCTCTTTATGGAAACATAAGCATAAGTGGCCAAAAAAACATGGAAAAGACACTCAGTCTCATGAATAACTAAAGAAATACATGTCAAAATAACACAGGGCCATTTTCTCACCCATCAGATTGGAAAGTATGGGAATGTTTAGTAAACCCCAGTTGTGAGGGGTGCAGAGGAACAGACGCTGTCACACACTGTTGTTGGATTATATGGGAAGCACACCTTTTGGAAGGCAACTTGCCACCATCTATCCAAATTGTGAACACATTTACCTTTTGACCTAGCAGTTCTGCTCCTAACAATGTACCCAATAGATACAGTCACAGAAGCACATAAAGATACATATACAAGAATGGTCTTCAGCACATCATTTGTGATGCAAAAAGGTAGAAGCACCCAGTGGTTTGTCAGTAAAGGGGCTGGTCAGACGTGTTCTGGAGTCTTCCCTGGGTGAGACACTTGATATCAGAGCAGAGCTCACATGGATGAATGTGTCCTCCAGGACATACGACAAAGATATTAAAAAAAAGTTGTGCAACATTTTGTACAAATCATACCATTTGACACAACAATAAACTGGATACGTACATGCCTGGATATGATATACTTGTTGTATGCATACAAATATTTAGGAAGAGTAACAAGACATTCTTAATAATGGTTGCCTCTGGGAAACAGGCATGTGCGGGATGGGAACGGGTAGCTTGCCGTCTACCCTTCATTCTTCTGTACTAATTGAATTTTTGACCATTATAACAGAAAAGAAAAATAAGTCCCCCATAGCAGAGTGTCCACCAATATTCTAGCTCCCTCATCCATAGTGCGGGATCACCCCTGAGCAGGAGGCCCCAGGCCCCTTGCAGCCTTGTGTGGCTACATTCTTACCACTGGGGACCTCAAGGAGCAGGTGGGCTTTCTCTGTGAGCAGAATAAAGAAGGATCTGAACCCTGGGGGGCAGAGCCTCCAGCAGGAAGGAGCCTACATCCCCCAGATGTAGCTAGAATCCCACCTGGACTGTGGGTGGGAAAGAAACTACGATGGGGTTAACCCACTGAAGTTCTGGTGTTGATTACAGCAGCCAGTGTCCCTTCAAGGACACGTGCCCAATATTTCTAGACACTTGATGTTTCTAAAAATGGCTACTAGAAACCAATGTATCTCATTTACTTAATCTCTCTCTCTTTCCCTCTCCTAAAATAAGGCTTCCTACAAGTTGCCAGGAGTGAGCATCTTACTGCTTATTTCACATAGAACAGCAGCGAGAGCAGCCACTCACCAGGACAAGGCCGCCAAATGTCAGCATGGTGGGGCCGATGTTAATTAAGGTGGTCACGATAACCCGGAACCTAGGGTAAAACAAAGTCTCGTAAGCAAGGCCACGGAAGATGTGAAGCCGACACCTCGCGAGCATGTTTAGTTTAATACCCTCCCCCGTCCTGGATCTGTTCTTTAAACGCTCTCAGGAATTTGCCTGTACAGTTTTGTCAGAATCAGTCCATCTACCAAGCTGAGGGGGGAGTATTTCCTTGGGAGCAAAGCAAGGCAGGTTTACAGACGCACGCAAGGTGCTCGCAGAGAATTTCGCTAATAAGACACGGGGGGGCAGTGAAGACACGCAGCCTCATCTGCTTTTCTCCCCCCACCTTTTTCTCCACCCAAATCCAGCCTGTTGTAAGGCTGACCTGGAGGTTTAGGTTGACAACTGAACACTTTCTGGGGGAGCAGGCCAGTCCTGGCCTATAGAAAACAGTGTGGGGTTTATCTGGGCTTTAGGGTCAGATTCCTGGGTTTGCGTCCTAGTTCTGCCTCTTTCTAGCTGTGCACCATTGGAAGAGTTACTCAACCTCTCTGAGCTTCACTGTCATCGCCTGTGAACTAGGGATAATAAAAGCCCCTCTATCAAGGGTTGTGGAAGATTTAACAAGACAACGGTTAGCACACTCAATAAGTGTTAGCTGCCATCAGCACCACCGTTATCCAGTCGCCAGGCCCCATGCACAGTTGAGGGATCAGGTCATAGGGATGAAAGTGAGGACAGAACCCTGCCCTCAGGGAGCTGCCTTGTGAATGCTCTTCACCATCTTGACGGCCTTCCTGCCCTTCCCCACTGCCCCCAGAGAACCCAGGTCTTCTACACAAGCTGCATGACAGGCTCACAGTTGGGCGTGCTTCTAGTTCCCAGGCAGGCTGGTTTCCACCAGGCCCCAACGTGGCTTTATCTTTACCTCTGAATGCTGACAATGACCCGTAAGAGCCGGAGTATTCGCAATATCAAGACGATATCCAGTATCTGCTGACTGTTGTATTTTCTTGCTGCAAAGAGAACACAAGCATCTAACATCCCATGTTCTGAGCGCCTCTGGCTTGTCCCTTTCATTCCTTGAGGCCTGAGACTCTGTGGGTACCGGGGAAAGTGGCAGCTTCACTTCAAGAACAGAACGACGGCCCTGAGCAATGAGGGAGCGAGTGCTGCCTCACATCACTAACCCCCCCAGCAAATCACAGCCCAGCGGCGAGTGTGGAACCTGAGCGTTCCCTCCGGCCCCTGGAGCTAAGGCACCGTGAGTGTAGGAGTAGACTAAATAATCCCTCTGCCATCTACAGGAAGGGGTGTGCATGGTTGTGTGGTGTGTGCGGTGAAGTCGGAGGAAGGTAAAAAGAAGAGGGCGGTGAGCAGGGGATGATGCAGAGGTCCTGCTATGGCTGGACCCTGGGCGGAGGCCGTGCTGGGCAGAGGGTCAAAGGTGTGGATGTTGGCCTCGAGACCAAAAGCGGTTTGGGAGAGGGGTGACCAGGTGAGTAGCTGGTGTGATGGACACCTTCATATGAATCTCTAACATACAGCACAAGCAAAGCTACCAGCCCTCTCCAGAACATACAACTTTGTTACGGATTCTCTTGTGCCCCCACTACCTCGCCCCGAACACCAGGGTGGTGCACGGGGGATCACCAGAGACTACTGATTGAACACACGACCCTGGGAGTTGGAGAAGCTGAGAGCCAGTGACACTGACCTGACTGAATGGTGGTGTTGGCCACAGTGGCCACCAGGGCTGCGATGATGATCAGCACATCAAACCTAACAGTGCAGAAGCAAAGTCAGGGAAGAATCTAAGCAAAGGCCTCGCAAGCTCAGGATACAACAGATTCTGAGAAAACTTCAAGTCCAATATCTTATGCAAAGCAACAATCCAGCCATAAAACTGATTTCCATCATTTTGAGGACAGTGGATATGAAGCGAGAAACACTAGGTTTGAACAATCCAATGATCATTCACTGGCTGCTCCACTGAGCCATCAAAAGGAATCTGCAGGAATCAGCTCATTCATATCGCTTTGTCTTCCAAAGTAACTATATTCTTGTAAGAATACTTTGACACATTTTCAGAATACATAGTATAATCTTTCTTGGTATTAATTTTACTAAATGCATTGTTACTTTGTAATTAAAGAGGAAACTCATTACACCATTACTTTTCTTTCTGACAATGGTGCAAAGGGACAACAAAACACTGGACACCGCTCACCAGGCCTGCTTTGGCCACATGCACATCCTAGCCAGTTTCCTGGCACTGAGAGCAGTGATCACAGAGATGCGACCCCGCCAAGCTGTGTGCCACTTAAGTCAGGCCTGCACCTTGTATCTTTGTGTCCTGCAAGGCCTGGCATGCGGTGGCACTCAAGATGGACGGGCTGGTCTGCAGCATGAAGGTGATGGTTCAACACCAGGGGGTACGTAGTCTGGACAAGAGAAGGCCACAGGGAGACACATCCAGCCCTGGAAAGGCTTTGCTAACAGTCCTCACTGTCCAGCTATGCAGGCCAAGCGTTCTGATAACAAGACCAGGGAGCGGCGGGGGGAGCTATGGAAGGAATTGCCTCATTGGGTATGACATTCAAAGATCCTTTCCAAATCCAAGACGCCATGATCTGTGATTCTAATTTTAGCTAGAGTCAGTGTAAGGTGACACCATGAATAACAGCTTTCACTGAACCAGATGTTCCCCCGCCCCCGAGGTTTCATTATAAGATGCCTCAAAACAAGGCAGATGGAGCTTGGAAAACTACAATCATATTTCGAAAATTGTGACAGGAAGCCCCTTCTCTTTGCCCACGGCCTCTTCCCCCTACCCGGAACAGACATGCTTACCAGTTCCAGAACTGCCTTCTTCCAAAATAGGCTCTGGGCTCATACGTGTACAGTTTCAGGAGAATCTCAATAATGTAGAGAGAAAGGAAAAGCCATTCTGCATAGGCAATGAAGGGGTTTCTCTCATCCAGAGCAATGAATATGGCATTGATTAGAATGATGATGTCATAAACCCAGACAAAAGCCCTGGCATGAGGGAAAAAAGAAGAAATCCTGTCATCACGCATTTCAGTGAAAGGAGCATGCTCAGAGCCCTACCAAGGCTGCTTTATTTCCCAGCAATGTGACAAATATGAGATACCCTCCACCCCACACCTGCCAATAACACACCCACACCCACACACACACGCTCTTCATGTAAGGAAAGGCTCCAGCACAGCCAGGCCCTAAAATTCACCTCCTTCCCACTGATGTTGGTGCAGCCCTTCCCACCAAGGAGAAAATGAAGACAGAGGGAGGGGGGCGGATAGAGGCGTGGCTTTCCCAGGTTCCCCTCTGGGGGCACAGTCCCTGGATCAGATAAAAGCTTAGGCAGAACTTGGGGGCAAGGAGAAGGGTTGGGGTTTAGCATGAGATCATTACATCTCTACTACTTAGCAAATTAACATCCTTAACTAAGAAGGCTTCTGAAAACCTCTTTACTCCTAATGTACACAAGCCTTCTAGGGGACTGGCATGTCCATCTTCCTCACGAAGTTTGGGGTGAAAATCGGTGGAAAACTATGATAGCTGGGCTCTGACTCAACTTTTCAATTACAGAGCAAGCTGCCCTGCTCAGGTGCCTGCCCCTTGTGCTCCACAGAATCCTGGGTACGCCCTGGGCGTGGCCAGGGGAAGACAGGGGAGCGGCTCCTACCCACTGTTCTCCATGAAGCACAGACTCTAGGGTCCAGCCCTGGAGGTCACATATGGACACGCAAACATCCACCGCATGAAACACATCAGCAGTACAATGTTGGGATTAAGAACGGAGCCCTCTGCATAAAGAACTTTGATAAATATAAAACATGGGCAGCTAAAAGGGATATTTACCTACATCATAGGCTGAGCTACTTTCAAGGACTTCTGAACCATTCACTTTCGTGAAACATTAAATTCAAAGAAAGCAAGAAGATGAGTCTCTGATGATAGGGGTATTCCAGGACACATATATTAAAAATAAGACCTCCAACCAGGATAAATGACTCTTTCTGAAGTCCATCTACTTGAAAATAAAATAACTAACTGGTCTTCTTAAGAGTCATTCCAGTAACTCTAACTCACGAGTTCTTAAATATACTTTATAGAGTCAAAGTGCCATACTTGACATCAACTTCCTATTGACTCTGATGGGGCTGGAACCACCTGAATTCAGAGACTGAACAGCTTCCCAGGCTCAGCACATCTATTCTGCGGCCCTTGAGCATTTTAGGAAACATTACAGAAGGAAGCATAATCTAGAAGGCTAGGATCAAACAGATCACGTCCAGAAGCCTTTCCATGCCTCCCCGAGAAACCAAAATCAGTGAGCAGGGGGCTGATTTACAACTTCAATGATGAAACATATTCCGTCCAGACAGCATTAACGGATTCCTCTATTTTGAAAGCAACTTGAGAGAAAATTGGCCCTATCTCACTTGCCTGTGCCGAACCATCTTCTGGACCCAGAGGCTTGCCGACGACTGGTACACCCGGGGCACCCAGGCTTCCAACGGGTGTCTCTTGATGTTGACGGCGATCACCCGGATATTGAGGAGGTCAGCCAAGCGTAGAAAGTTCATTTTGTCTGCAATGAAAAAACGACCCCAAAACACATGGCCACGATGACACTAAGGTCCAAAGAGTGAAGGCAAGTCAGCACAGACTCTTGGATCTGCATTTCACGGTGAAGATCTGAAGCCTCAAAGGGTGAAGGTCCAAGGCCAAGGAGCCAGAGAGTGGCAGAGCTTCAGGCCTGTCCTCACGCAGACCCTCAGCCAACCCAAGGCAGCCAACCCAAACATGTGATTTTGCTAGTTCACAGATGCCTCTCTCTCACTCCCTGCCTTCCACCCTGCCTTCCTCCTCACATGGGCCATCACTGCTTTCAGTGTCTGCCTGACCTTCACTTTCCCACTTCCCCTTCCTCTCCACAAAGGCTCCAAGGTAGGTATAATCCATTCCCTGCCCACCGTCCCTCTCTGCCCCTTCACAGGACTCACTCAAACCCACAGCCTCCACAACAAGTTGGCCCACCTCCCCGGGCCAAAGTACGGTGGACACTTTCTTGATCAGCCTGGACCCACCCAGCGGCTGTGTCAGTGCTCTCCAGACCCACTGAATGTCCAGGGCCAGCAGGCTCTTCTCCACCACCCCATGCACCTCTCCCCGACCAGGCAGGTCGGTTGCTGACCACGAGTCAACTGGTGATCATGAACTCAATGATCATGAACGTGAAAGCTGTTTATGCATGAACTTCCTGTAATTATGTATAACTTAAAGAAATATCACATCAATGGATAAAATCAGCATATGCAAAGAGCGTGGCTGCTTCTCTGAAAACTAAGTTGAATGCTTTGGAAAACTTAAGGCAAGCTGCTGCAATAAATTGCAGGTACAGATCAGGTATAGCTGAGACAACCGTCAGAGACTAGGGCAGGGAGTTAAGTCCTAGAGGACTTCTCATTTAGTGGGTCTGGCAGATGTCCAGGTCTCCATTTCAGTTTTCAGAAGTAAATGACAAATCATGATCCTACAGGTGCCGCCATAGTGTGGTTTATACACGAAAGATGTGGAACTACCATCAACTGACACCAGGAAAAGAAAAAGCCTCAGTCCTGCCAGAAGTGTGGCCTCATCTGAGTGAGGAGCCTGAATCAGACAAAGCCTTGAGTGACATTAAACATTCATGCAGCTATTTTCCCTAAGAGTTGTATGGTCCCAAGAACATGAGTCCATCAAGTTGTATGAAAAACACACTTAGCTATCTTAGGATATCTAAGTTCCTGGGTCTTCAGTGTCACAAGGAAAATATACATACATGTCTTAGTAGCCAAAGACATGTAACACCCACTCAGGTGGAAATGCTGCCTCGGAGAATTGGGTGACGTGATAACTTGGATCCAGGGAACTGGGTTACGTGAGCTCCACCATTAGCGGTTAGGGAGACACTGACATGACAACCACAAATAGGGTTCAGAGTGACATACTGACAGGAATCCAGCCAAAACCTCAGTCATTAAATAACCTTGGCCAACAGGGAATCCATCAGTCTCACTGGGTTCACATCTTATACTCCAGAAGAGTCAGTAGAAAGGACAAAGAGAATCAAAGCCATAGTAATTTTGTGTTAAGAAGGAATTTGTACCCATCTGATATTTTATGTTGGAAATCAGGAGTCGGCAAACTTTTTCTGTAAAGGGCCAGGCAGTAGGTATGTTAGGCTTTCTAGGCCACATAGTCTCCACTTCAACTACCCAATTCAGCCGTTACAGCACGAAAGGAGCCATAAACAATACATAAATGAACGAGCATGGCTATGTTCCAATAAAACTTTATTTACAAAAACAGCTAGTGGGCCATATTTCGCCTGTGGGCCATAGTTGGCCAACTTTTGTTGTAGATACATTACTTACTCCATATTCTCTTTGTTAATAATTCTATTCAGCCATTTTCTTTCCATATTTGTATGTTTTGTGTTTCTCAGTTTAACAGTAGATTTAAGTTTTAACACTTTTGGTACTAACAGAATTCCAGTGTGTAGCCTTGGAAACCACAAATAACTGCTGATCAAGGGGGAAAGTGACAATGTTCACAGAAGTATTGCTATCCCCTGCCTGTAGAGATTGGAGACCATTGTGAAGCATGTAATTCCGTTCAGCTTTCTGTTTTTACAAGTGTCTTTGAAAGTGTTAGTTGAACAAAGGAGTCTTTTGAACATTCAGACATCAGAAATCACTGCTATATCCTATGAAATATAACCTGTCATCCCTAAAAGCCGACAAATCAGATTGGCTGTCTTCCTTAAAGGTGTGATTGCCCTGGTAACAATATTTAAACTGACACTGCTGTTTGGTAAAAGGTAAAGTACTGGGCAGACTGTGAAGCCATAGCTCACTGGTACTTTCTTCTTGCCACGTTTATAGAGCTCTAATAAAATCTGTGACTCCAATGGATTCCTTTTTTCAAACTAGATGAGATTTGGTCTCATTTAATTTACAAATAGAATCATGACTCAGGTGACAAAACTGAGCAGGTCTCAGGCCAAGGACCCAGACTCCTTGCTGACTCCAGTCATGAGGCAGCAAATAGAGGTCAGGGCGCTGTGGGTGTGTCTCAGGGGCGTCTCCCCACCTCTTTCACTCCCTCTAACCTGCTTGGAAGGTCATGAGCCACTTTTGCTGAATGTCCACAGAGCCATTAGAAAGTAAGTGAACTATAGTCATGCTTCGCTTAACAACGGGGACACATTCTGAGAAATGTGTCGTTAGATGATTTTGTCATTGTGTGAACATCACAGAGTCTACTTACACAAACCTAGATGGTATAGCCTACTACATACCTAGGCTCTATGGTACTAATCTTATGGGACTACTGTCATGCATGCAGTTCATGGTTAACCGAAACATTGTTATGCGGTGCATGACTGTGCGTATGTGTGAGGTTTGTCAGTGTGTTGTCATCTTACGGCCTTGTAGCCTTAGACCATGTGGAGTCATATTGGCTTGAGTGGGAAAGTCTGCAGCAGATGAACTAGAACCATTGAAGTCCTGTCCTCTCAGAGTCAATGTTCAAGTTTGAGATTTTGATAAACTGAGAATATTAATATGACTCGAGGTTTCGAAGATTAGTTGTGTGGCAGGTGGGGGAGGGTAAACTATGCATAGAAGAGAGCTCTAGAAAGGGCAACAATCTATGGGCAGAACCAGCAAAACAGGAGTTGAGGGCTGAATTGGGCCCCCTCAAAATTCACACGTTGACGTCTTAACCCCTAGGACCTCAGAGTGTGACTCTATTTGGAGATGGGGCCTCTAAAGAGGTAATTAAGTTACAATGAGGTCATTAGGGTGGACACTAATCCAATACGACTGGTGTCTTTATAGGAAGAGGAGGTTAGGACACAGACACGTACAGAGGGAAGACGATGTGAAGACACAGGCAGAAGACAACCATCTACAGGCCAAGGAGAGAGGCCTACCCGGCCAACACCTTGATTCCAGACTTCAAGCCTCCAGAACAGTGAGGGAATAAACTTCTGTTGTTTAAGCCCCTCAGTGTGTGGTACCCTGTTATGGCAGCCCTAGCACACTAATGCAACAGGGAACGATTTCACAACAAATTGTTAATTTAAATGATTTAAGTGAACACTCTGCATTCCTTACGTTCTGAGTAGAGATTTAAAGATTCTCCCGGGCTGGCCCCGTGGCTTAGTGGTTAAGTGCACATGCTCTGCTGCTGGCGGCCCGGGTTCAGATCCCAGGCGCGCACCGACGCACCGCTTGTCCGGCCATGCTGAGGCCACGTCCCACATACAGCAACTAGAAGGATGTGCAACTATGACATACAACTATCCACTGGGGCTTTGGGGGAAAAATAAATAAATAAATAAAATTATTAAAAAAAAAAAGATTTAAATAAAATAAAATAAAGATTCTCCCAAAATGAAGAAATCAAGGAAAAATTCTTTATCCTTCAAAAGTGCTATCCTTCAAAAAAAAATTAAATAAATAAACCAAGCAAACATAACAAACAAAAATACTCACGAGGGTAGAGAAAATAAGGAATTTCAAGCTCAATGATCACCTTTTTTTATTTTAACAAAATCTGTGGCAAACTCTTAGCCTGCACAAATGTACTAAAAATGCTAAAGAGAGCCAGTCCTGGTGGTCTAGTTCTTAAGATTTGACACTTTCACCACCGAGACCCGGGTTTGTTTCCCCGTCATGGAACCACACCACCTGTCTGTCAGTTTTCATGCTGTGGCAGCGGCTCACATAGGCAACGAAACTAACAACTAGGATACACAACTACGAACTGAAGCTTTAAAAAAAATGCTGAAGAAATTAAGTGTTATGTGAACTAGGTCTTAAAATGATTTTCTCCTTGACACGAGTGTCTTCCAGATAAAACTTTGAATTAACAAGTTGATTTATAAAGCCTGGCCCCCAAGGCCGGAGTCAAGATGACGGCGTAAGCAGACTCTGAACTCACCTCCTCCCGTGGACACAGCCAATTTACAACTACTCGTGGAAAAATTACCCGAGACAGAACTGAAAACTGG